CCCACCGTTCTGCAACCCCTGTGCGATTTAGCGTAGCCTCTAATATAGCAGAGAGAAAACTCTTGTTCGGTCGCGTCATTATTAATCGTAATCGAATTTGAATCGTCGACGCGCGCCGCTTTAATCGCATCAATTAGCCGGCTCGTTAAGCCAATAAACGATACAAACATTGTAAAATTCATTTGTTCGTGGCGCTGTTCGATGAAATTTTTCCAACGAATTTCCCCTATTTATCGGTGACGGCATTTCGGTTGAGTTTATTAGACGTGCCGAATATGCGCGGATCCACCATTCCTTCCGCCATTTACATATTGTTAAATCTGTTCGATCATTTCCATATGCATTTTAACGCGGAGACAGCTGAACGTAGAAAATGAGCAACAAGTAGGTAACTTCGCGCGATGAATAATTCTCGTTATAAAGTACAATTAAGGATAAAAGAAATTTGACAGAAGGGCTGTTTTAACCGTGACAATACACGTCAACGTTTCCACGAGTACGAAAGAATAATGGATCGTTGATTTGTGTACACGCGTAACGCCTTAACATTCGCGACAGACGACCGACCCAGTAGGCAACAGAGGCCCGTGCCAGCAGCTCGCGTGTGTATTATATCTATGTATATGCACGTGTGTATGTCTCTCTCTCTCTCTTTCTGTGTAATTATGTATGTATACCGTTCATATATAATTCACGAGGATAACCGTTTTAACAGTAACAATAACGACAACAGCGATCGCGATACGAGTGATCTCCTCGATATATGTTACCGGGTATAATGAACGAACGAAGACGATACGATCAGTGTCGTATTATAATTCGAATAATAGGCAACGCGGGTACAAAGTGTCCTCCGTATTTTCTCCTCGATACCAATGTCCGATATGCAGGGTGTAACCGAAATAAGTGAGAACCTTGGTATCGTATTCTGCTCTTCCTGAGGATGGAAAATGGACGCATTTGAGAAAATATCAAATAGATCAGGAGAGCGTGTATTGATTTAGAAGGAAATCATTTTTTTTAACCCTTTCGTTGCTAAAGGTGACCATGGTCACACAACATCGAGCGCTCGCTATATTTTAACGGCGACTATAGCCACCCGTCGCTGAACGCGATGACAAAACTGTATTATTAAACAATTTTTAAAA